TTACTACCACATAAAAAAAAAAGCCTTAAGTGGCGCTGGGGCAAGTGGTAGAGCTGAAGAGTTCAGGGACAGTGCCCAGTTCCAGAGTTCAGGCCCCACAACCAATGTTATGATAAAGGTGATATAAAGAGTGATTACAGTTATGTAAGTCAGATAATAAGCACATTTCTTTTTGGACAATGTCAGCCCTTCCCTCCCGTTCCCACCCACAAATTATATAGTTAATTTTCAACATAGTGTATAGTGAGTACTACTGCTGCATTTGTTCACCCTTTGACCCTCCATTTCAGAGCTTAAAACTGAACTCAGGGCCTTGCACGTTCTAGGTAAGTGATCTTCTAATGAGCTAAATCCCAACTCCAAAGAATAATTTTTTTTCCCTCCAGGGCTGAGGACCAAACCCAGGGCCTTCAGCTGGGCTAAACCCCCAGGCCCCCAAAGAATAAATTTTGAATTGTACATCTTGGTATATAATTCCACAAAGAACAAAAATGTGCTTCAAAAAAGAATAAACTTACTTTATCTGTAATTGTTGCTATGTATCTCATACATTCTATATCGGAAGGGAACTGATTGACTTCCTTCACCAAATATTGAACAACTTTTACATGACCCTGTAAATACAACAAAAGCATAGAAAATAATTCTTTGAAAATTTGCCATATTCTTAACAACTTATTAAAAAAATAAAAACTTCAGCTGGGCACTGGTGTCTCACGCCAGTTATCTTAGCTACTCAGAGGCTGAGATCTGAGGCTCGCGGTTCAAAGCCAGCCCAGGCAGGAAAGTCCCTGAGACTCTGATCTCCAATTAAACACCAGAAAATCAGAAGTGGCACTGTGGCTCAAGTAATAGAGTGCTTGCCTTGAGCTGAAGAGCTGAGGGACAGTACCTAGGCCTAGAGTTCAAGCCCCATGACAGATAAAAATAAATACTTCTAATTCACTAAATTTGAAACTAAAATTATATATTTCATATATACATATATTTCATTTACATAGATGTAGAATTGTTGGGGGGAGCTAAGAGGAAGGTGAGAGAGAAAGGAAAGGATGATAAGAAATGTACTCATTATCTTGCCCATGTAATTGTAACCCCTCTGTACAGTATGTTCACAAAAAATAAAAAAAATAAAAAAGGATGGAGGCAAATATAATCAAAGTATATTATATCTATAAATAAAAATAGGATGAGACCTACTAAAATTTGTAACAAAAAAGGGGGACATATGGAAATATTACAATGAAATTCCTTTATATAATTAGCATGTTCTAATAAAAATATACATTCTAAGGTACTAAGCATAAAATGTAGTGAACAAAGGAAGGCAGCATGAATGATTAGGCTAGGCAGGTTGATATAAACCAATTCTACAGCACTTTGTAGACCATGATAAGTAGCTTACAATTTTTCATTAATTACAATGGGTAATTACAATTGGTAGATTTTTTTAAATATAGCAGAAAAAATGAGATTTAACATATATAGGAGGTAGACTGAGGTGTAACTGAAGTAGGGTGCTTGCCTAGCATGTACAAAACCCTAGAGTCAATGCCCTCTCCCCATATACTATAAATTTTTTGTGGAAGTGTGATCTATTGTCTTCCTACTCAGGTAGAGAAAACATCCATTCACATATAGTAGCGTTTCTTAATTTAATTTTTACCATATAACATAACAAAATTGTCGAGATTCCAAGTGAATTTGCTTTAACACATAGCTCTTGGGCTTGGCCACAGAAAAAATAGAATGATAATACCAATTTTTTTTTTCTTAGTCGGTGTGGGGCACTGTCCCTCAGCTCTTCAGCTCAAGGCTAGTGCTCTACCTCTTGAGCCATAGTGCCACTTCCAGTTTTCTGGTGGTTTATTGGAGATAAGAGTGTCACAGACTTTCCTGCCCAGGTTGGTTTTGAATCCTGATCCTCAGCTATCAGCCTCCTGAATAGCTAGGATTACAGATGGGAGCCACCAGTGGCTGGCTAATACCAATTTTTTAAAATGGAAATAATACTCAACTTTTTGAGATCAGTTTATTTTCTCATACGGTTTCAACTTAGAATTGGCTTAAAATGATTAAATTTTATCTTCTCCCTTTATGTAAAGTTACCTTTCGAAATGCTGACATAAGAGGTGTGATTTTCCGGTTATCTGCTGCATCCACATCAGCACCTGCTTGCACTAGCAATTGTACTACATCAAAATGACCACCATTAGATGCCAGCCACAATGGTGTATTTCCCTTCTTGTTACGAACATCAATATGAGCTCCTCTATAAAGAAAAAATATTAACACAGTTTGTCTCCTTAAGAGGCATCTTTTCTAATCTTAAAAAAATAAAAATACAAAAATACAATAATCTGTAATTTATGTCAGAGTAAGATAATTTTACTTAGACTACAGAAGTTCTATATATAAAATAAAAAAACTGGCTTAAATTTAAGACAGTAATATAAACAGGATGAATTTGATCAAAGTATATTACATGCATATACTGTATAGCTAATTTATGCTAATAAAACAATTATTTTTAAAATGAAAATTACCCACCTGTTAATCAGAAGCTCACAAAATTTATAGTGACCTTTGTCTGCTGCTATTGTTAATGCAGTATCTCTTGAAGAAGGCACTGGAGGGGCATTGACATCTGCTCCTTTATCAAGGAGAACTCTTCCAACCTCAGCATATCCTCCAGAAGCAGCTTCCATCAAGGGAGTAAGACCAGTCTGTTTAAAGCAATTAATTATGCACTAAATAACACAACTTCTCACAAGGACTAACGTAACAACATAACTGACTCTTTGGGGTTTTTTTCTTTTTTTGGGTCCGGTCATGGGGCCTGAATTCTGGGCCTGGGCGCTGACCCTCAGCTCTTCAGCTCAAGGCTAGCGCTTTACTACTTGAGCCACAGCACCACTTCCGGCTTTTTTTTTTCTTATGTGGTGCTGAGGAATCAAACCCAGAGCCTCTGGCATGCACATAACTGACTCTTAAGGAAACATTTCTTACGAAAGAGCTAAGCTTTATTCTTTTTTTTTTTGGTCAGTTGTGGGGCTTGAACTCTGGGCCTGGGCACTGTCCCTTAGCTCTTCGGCTTAAGGCAAGTGTTCTACCACTTGAGCCAAAGCACCATTTCCAATTTTCTGGTGGCTAATCGGAGATGAGAGTCTCCTGGTCTTTCCTGCACACAGGCTTTGAACCTTGATCCTCAGATCTCAACCAGCACCTGGCTTATATTCTATTTTTAATTCGACTAAATAACAAGTAAAAATTGTTAGATCCAGTTAGATATGCCAGAATGAATTCACAACCTATTGCCTTATGCTGGGTTGACATTTTTGGCCTGACATTTCTTTTTTTTTTTTTCTGTCATGGGGCTTGAACTCTGGGCCTGGGCGCTGTCCCTCAGCAGGTCAACTTAAGGTAAGTGTTCTACGACTTGAGCCACAGTGCCACTTCTGATCGTTTCTGGTGGTTAACTGGAGATAAAAGAGTCTCATGGCCTTCCCTGCCTGGGCTGGCTTTGAACTGTGATCCTCATATCTCAGCTTCCTGAGTAGCTAGGATTATAGGCGTGAGTCACCAGCACCCAACTTTGTCAATACATTTCTTACTGGTACCTGGATTTCTCCAGGACTTTTAATAGGTAAGTGGGCCACAAATAATACTTACATGGAAAAGACAAAACTAGATGGCAGTTAAAAAGTACAAGGGAAGCCAAGTACTGGTGGCTCATAACTATAAACTTGGCTACTCAGAAGGCTAAGATCTGAGGATTGCTGCCCAAAGCCAGCCAGGAAAGAAAAGACTTTGAGACTCTCATCTCTTTAATAAAACAACAAAAGCTGGAATTGGAGGTATGGTTCAAGTGGTAGAAGACCACTGTGGAGTGCAAAAGCCAAGTGAGAATGAAAAGACCTGAGATGAAGCCCCGGTACACACACACAGTCCAAGGGAAAAACCACATTCATTTCTTATATATTTTTTTGTTGGCTGGGGGGCTTGAACTCAGGCCCTGGGGAATGCTCAAGGCTAGTGCTCTACCACTTTGAGCCACAGCTCCACTTAAAGTTTTCTGGTGGTTAATTGGAGAGAAAGAGTCTCATGGACTTTCTTGCTTGGTCTGGCTTTGAATCATAATTCTCAGATCTTGGCATCCTGAGTAGCTAAGATTACAGGCATGAACCACTGGCACTTGGCTTCTTATTTCTTAGATTAGAAAAATGTAATTGTTTCATTAGCTTTAAAAAAGTATAACTAATAAAGTTTAGAGAGGTCAGATGAAATTTCCAATCAAACCTTTCAAATTTGAAATGACAGCCTAGCTGTAACCTTACTATAAAAGATTTTCCCCTAAGCTAGGATTCTATATATCTTACAGCTTGAAACAAAGTCAAAACTATTGTCACAATTCCTATTTTCTAATTTTAAAGTCATGACAGCCAGAACCTGTCATAGTTAAATTAGAGCTTAGATGGTCCAATTTTATAACCTTTGAACAAATTTTTTGGTTAGAATTTTTACAAATAGAAAGTAGAGGCCTCATTAAAAGGAGTTCTCTAAATGGTAATAGTGTACACCAAACTATTATATGATTTCCCAAACCTGTATTTGCCATGAGCTATATATGTCATGTTCTTTTTACTAGATATATGTCTGAAATAGTTTACCAATTATAAAATACTTACTTTTGCCCTATGTTCAACATTGGCTTTGCGGTCCAGAAGTAAACTCACTACTTCTGCTCGGCCTTGGAAACAGGCCAGGGTGAGAGCTGTATTCCGATTAGTTTCTATTTGAGCATTAATATCTGAACCCATATCAAGCAGCAGTTTCACTGCAGGAACATGTCCATTCATTGCAGCCAACATCAGAGGAGAAATACCTAATTTACTCCCAGTCCTAAGGGGGAAAATATGCTCAGAAAATAAAAGTAATATATTTCATATTTAAAAAAACCATTAAAAGTGAAAATTTATTTCAGCAATACAGAAAGATTTCTAACACTGATGAATGTTTTACTTGCTTATAATAGTAATAAGGAAAAGGAAAATCTCACAATTTAAAACCAAAGCTTACAAGTTATAAATTTTCAATTACAAGTACAAAGTACTTTCTGAAATGAGACCTCTTAAAGAAATCACATTACTGACATAAACTGGAATTGTTTATATATTATAGGAATAATCTTTGGCCTTGCAACTTCAGGACTATCTTAACTAAAATGTCAAGTGTCCAAGGGTTGGGGTACTGTTCAAATGATAGAACTATCTAGGCAAGTGCAAAGCCCTGATTTCAAGCCTTCGTGTTGCCAAAAGAGGGGTGGGGAATGTTATCTGTCCAAATACTTAGGGAAAGACATTTAATGCCTAAGGTAGTGACTTACTAATCATTAGTCATAAAATGAATGAACAATTGATACCTTGAATTAATTTCTGCCCCAGCATTAAGAAGAATCTTAATGATATTAACATATCCTCCAGATGCAGCTAGACTCAATGGCGTATAATCAGACACATTTCTATGTTCTTTATTTGCACCCCGAGCCAGCAGCAAATCTACTACCTACAAAGTAAAATATGAATAGTGAAACCCAGTTTACACCAAGGGCTCAACTTATAAAGAAGAAAGTACAAAGAAATAGGACCTATGACTTCCTATCTATGTGTCCTAAATATTAAAATATCAGCATAAAAGAAATGGATTTAATTTTATACTAAGGAATTAAGACCTTTAAATTGTCAATAATTCATTCTGAATTATTGAGCAATGGATTTACATTTTACATGTTTTAGAATTGTAACTGACTTAATCCCAATAAATGTAAGACAATTTTTATTTGGTTATCAGGGCAAGCATATTGCTTACAAGGGCATTTACTATTCCCATTACATTAGCAAAACTATCCCATTTCTCAGAAATGAATGTCAAATGTCAAATGTCAAAACACATTTACCCTTTATTCAGGTAGCTAAAGTACCAGCCATGTACACATTGAAGAACCCAAGTAAAAGGTTTACAGAGTGAAAATCTACATGAACATACCTCCTGACGTCCACCAGAACATGCCAATGAAAGTGGAGTATCCTTAGTTCGTTCAGATTGTGCTTCTATATCTCCACCTTTATCTAAGAGGATTTCAACAACTCCAACATGCCCTGCTGTTGCTGCTAAGATCAGTGGAGTAAAACCTAAATCAGAAAATAAAAATCTCTAACACATTTGTGCTTTTTAGTTAAAGCTATTATTATAAATTCTCAATTATTTTAATAAAAAGACAAAAACTTTAATCATTTAGCACAAAACTGCTCTAAACCTTAATTGGTTAAATGATAAAACATAAACATCTGGCAAAAATGAATGCTAAGTCAATAAAACTATTGGATGGGGCTGGGAAGGTGGTCAGTGGTAGAGCGCTTGCCTTGCATGCATGAGGCCCTGGGTTCGATTCCCCAGCACCACATAAGCAAAAAGAAAAAAAGCCGGAAGTAGCGTTGTGGCTCAAGAGGTAGAGCGCTAGCCTTGAGCTGAACAGCTGAGGGACAGCACCCAGGCCCAGAGTTCAAGTTCCACGACCGGACCCAAAAAAAAAAAAAAAAACTATTGGAGATTTACTGATATAGTCATTACAAACTTCAGTGTTTCTGTACAAACGAACTCAGGATTAAGGAGAAAGGTGACTACAACTTTTTTTTTCAGTGCACAGGATTGAGCCTGGGTCCTGTGGTACTAGACAAGAGCTCTACCACTGCACTACAACCCCAGCTCTGCAATCAAAACTTGCTCACCTTCACTGATTATTTATACAGTATGTCAGACTTACACAGTATGTCTCAGATTTATATCATTAGTTGGGTTAAAATTACTGTGTGATTTGCTCTGAATTTTGTGAAAATATTATCTCTCAAGAAGCAAATGACAGCCAGGTGCTGGTGGCTCACACCTGTAATCCTAGCTACTCAGGAGGTTGAGATCTGAGGATCACGGTTCAAAGCCTGCCAGGGCAGGAAAGTTTGTGAGACTTATTTCCGATTAACCACCAGAAAACTGGAAGTGGCGCTGTGGCTCAGGTGGTAGAGCACTAGCCTGGAGCTGAAGAGCTCAAGGACGGTGCCCAGGCCCAGAGTTCAAGGGTGATGACCCAAAACAACAACAGCAACAACAACAACTACCACCAAACAAAAAAATGATAGGCAAAAATAAATTTTGAAAAAGAAAAAGTTTATCCTTCCAAGGGCACATAATATGCTTAACTTGAGCTATAAGTGAAAATTGTAGATGTATTGAAAGGCAACATTTCTTTAGTGGAAGTCAGGAAGCATTACTGGAAAAGAATTAAGCATCCACAGTAAAACACTGAACTGTATACATTCTGAACATTTGCAATTTTTTTCCAACAGGGGTGTCCTTGGAAGTATACACCCATGAATATCAAGGATCTAGTATATTTTACTTTTGATTTTTTTTTTTTTTTTTTGCCAGTCCTAGGAACTGTCCCTCAAGGCTACAGCACTCTATCACTTGAGCCATAACTCCACTTCCAGGTACTTCTATGATTAACTGGAGATAAGATTCTCACAAATTTTCCTGCCTGGGCTGGCTTTAAACTCAAATCTTAGATCTCAGCCTCCCCAGTAGCTAGGATTATAGGCATGAGCCACCAGTGCCTGGCTTACTTTTGAAGTTTTTGGAGTATTGTCTCTGAAAATTAAAATTTAGTCTTATTACTAACTGTAGGAACTACTTATTGATAGTGAAAAAGGTACAACTGTTTTCTCATTGAATGATACGCACATTTTCTCTGTAACTGACATTTTTTTTTTTTCAGGTAAGGGGTAGGTTTATTCTAGCTGGCACCATGTAAATGACATTTCTTACCTTTTTTGTCTCTGTGCTCAATTTTAGCATCTCGTGCAATGAGTACAGACACAAGTTCTTCATGACCTCCTGCACAAGCCAGTGTTAATGCTGTGTCATGATTGCTCTCAGTCTACGAAGAAAAAAATGATTATCAATTAAAATTAATTATTTCTTTTCACCATGAAGATACAATTATCTTCCCTTTTCAAAGTAAACAAGAATGTGTAGAGTAAGTAAGGATGGCAAAGTAAGTTTATATCAAATAAACTAATCTACTCACATGTGCATCAATGTCAACTGAAGGATACACAGGGGAAACTATATTGCTTGGAGACTGTGAACAGGATTCAGGTGTAACACATTCTGTGATGTGTGAAGAACTGTTGGAACCAGTGGGCACTCGGCTACTCACAGCTGAAAAACAACATTCACATTGCTAAATTCCATTCAAAAGAGTAGTTGTTTGTACATAGAAATATACACACAGAAACTCCCCAACAAATCAAAATAAAAGTCCAGAAATTTCCATAGTAATATGTTGTGGTGGCCAAATCAGAAGCTTTGTTACCTTAAAAGCACCTACATTTGAATCCTAGTTCTAGCACTAGCTTTCTGAACTTGAGCAAGTAATTAACCTTGTCTGAACCTCAATTTTCCTTTTGTGTAGAATGGAAGGTTGTTGCAAAATCCACTTGATATATATAACATACTTCACAGAATACCATATATTTAGTGAACAAACAATAAACAGTAACACTTTTTACACTGTCAATACACAGAATATATCTTAATGCATTTTTCTATCTTAGTTTAAAAAAGGAAATTTGATTTTAAAAATAAGAAAAAGAGAAGGTAACAAGTAAGGATAGTTCTCACATAGATAACTGGGATTATGTAGTATAGAATTCAATATTTGCTTTGAAAATTTACTAGAATAAATCAATTCCTCAAAGTGAAACTTCTTTATAAATGAACACTGGAACTTTGTATTTGAGACTCAAAATCTAATGTATGAGTAAAGAACCAGGCATGATTGGACATGTTTATAATCCCAGTACTTGGTAGCCTGAGAAAGGAAGATTATGAGTTCAAGACTAACTTGGCTACACAGTGAAAATGTATTTTGTTAAAGCCAGGAATAGTGGTTCAAACTGTAACGCTAGCTACTTGGGAAGCAGAAACTGGAGAATGGTGGTTCAAGGCTAGCCCAGGCATAAAAACTTGAAGAACTCTATCCACTCAATGGGTGTGGTAGTTAGTTCATGCCTATTATCCCAAGCTACATGAGGAGACACAAAAAGGGGGTTGCAGTCATGGCCAGTCAGTTTTACATACATGGCATGATGTGAGACCCTCTCTCAAAAATAGGTAACACAAAATAAACTGGTACAGTAGCTCAAGTAGTAGAGATCCTGCTTCACAAGCATAAGACCCTGAGCTCAAAACCCAGTACCGTACCTCCCTAATTTTTTTTTTTAATTAAAAGACAGAAAATGAGTTGATAGGTGTGATGGGGTATGCTTATAATCCAGCATTAGGAGGGCCAAAGCAGAAGAACTATGAGTTCAACGCCAGCCTGGGCTACAAAGGAGACCTTAAATCAAGCTAAAATAAACAAAAAAGCCCAAAATTGAGTTGTTACATCTTTTTTAATCTGAATATTTCTTATGCTTCACAGGAAATGAAGTTTACCCACAGAAGGGGAAGTGGGATCTATATCAAAAGTATACTAGTCCAATAAATGATGTATTTAAAGCATTTAACATGGTATGTTCTCAGTAAATGTAATTATCAGCATGTGACAGTACAATTATTCAGTACAATTATCATTGTATTAAAAATATAAATATTATTTATGGAACAAAATTCAGAAAAAAAAACATATAATCATGAATAATATATAAGAAGCAAAGCTTAAGGGATGACTATAAGCTTCTATTTGTGGCCAGATTAAAAGTTTAAAAAAACCACACAAGTTAAAGGACAATGAAGGTTAAAAATAAATGAAAGTACTTCAAGTATTGGAAAATGTTTTCTTTCTAGAATTATGATATGACTGGATCCTAATCAAGGACACTATTCATAATAAATACGAATGGTTCAGTTTATTTAAGTTACTAGCTTAAATAACGTAGCAAAGTTTAAGATATCTGGATGTGTTATTACATGAGCTATCCCCTAGACTCCCCACCAATACATAAAACCATCTTGAAATTATAAATTTTGTCAATTTCTGTAGCCATATAAAGAACATAATTCAACTACCCAGTTACAAACAGGGATGATTATTTTGTTTCACCTGTGAAAATATGACAATGTACTCCCTTTTTTCTCACTCAGTGAAACAAAAGCAGACATTGTGTTACACCTCAAAATAATTGATATATTTAGAAAACAGCTTAAAAAATAACATACTAGATTGATAGAGAAAACCTTACTGATAAGATTTTAACAGTAGTTGGTCTTATAGTTAACATATATCTTAGTAAAGAACTACTTTTTTTTATCATTATTGTATATATTTATAACTTTTTTATGAAAAGCAGATATTTAAAAATACTTAAAATAGATGTTTAGGGTTGCTGAGCCACAATTTGACACTATGAAAGTTGATTTAAAAAAGACTTTTCTAGGGCTGGGATGGTGGCTCAGTAGTAGACTGCTTGCCTTGCATGCATGAGGCCCTAGGTTTGATTCCTCAGCACCACATAAGCAGAAAAAAGCTGGAAGTGGCGCTGTGGCTCAAGTGGTAGGGCACTAGCCTTGAGCTGAAGAGCTGAGGGACAGCACCCATTCCCAGAGTTCAGCCCCCATGACCGACCAAAAAAAAAGACCTTTCTATTTAACACATTACTAAAACCTGTATTGTTATGACACAATTTACTGTATACTTTTGTACTATATTATCCTAGAAACATTTTTCTACTGGTAATAATGACAATCAGAACCATTCCACAGAAAGCACTTAATAAGATTAGTTATAAATGAAAAGTTATAAAAATAAAATAAGAAAGTAAGAGATTTAAAAAGTACATATGCAATGAAAGTTTTATTACACAAGGATTATGATATTTTCATGAATTCTAAAATAGGACTATCTCTAAATGTGTCTGAAAATAAGAAAGGCAGATTTCCACAAAGATCAAAATATAATTGATTACATTTATATGCTATTCAAAATGTTATCTTTTAGCCTTTAACTCTGTGAAGAAGAAAATTAGCTTTGTAGAAAAAAAAAAGAAAATTAGCTTTGTAGGTAATCTAGAAGATAATAAGTATTACTATAAAAAGTTTCATGGAGCTGGGCATGACTGTAATCCTAGCTACTCAGGAGGCTGAGATCTGAGGATCGCAATTCAAAGCCAGCCCAGGCTGTGGGACTCTCTTATCTCCAATAAACTACCAGAAAACTGGAAGTGGCACTGTGGCTCAAGTGGTAGAGTGCTAGCCTTGAGCTGAAGAGCTGAAGCGAGTTCAAGCCCCACAGCGGACAAAAAACAAAACAAAACAAAAAAACAGCAATAAAGGAAAAATGTTCCTGTACTTCGAGTGAAATATATTCCTGTTATATATAGTTATTTTCTAAAGTAAAACTTTTATGAGACTAAATCTGAAGGATAAGAACTAATTTAATTCAAATAAAATTAATTATGTCTGTGGCCTGCTCTACAATCCTATTGATATAGGTTCTTCTAATTTATTTTACTTTCAACTTCTTTCACTTTCAATTAAGGAAATTAAGTGAAACAAGCATAAAGAAAATAGTATTTTTTAATATTAAGTAAAGTCAGCTCATCATCTTGAACAAAGAAAATAAAAATATTGCCATGATTTCAAAACAGATAACCAACACAAAGCGGAAATTTTTATATGAAAACAATTTTGAATGCATATAACTTAAAAAGGAATATCAGGGGGCTGGGAAGGGGGCTCAGTGGTAGAATGCTTGCCTTGCATGCATGAGGCCCTGGGTTAGATTCCTCAGTACCGCATAAGCAGAAAAAGCCAGAAGTGGCGCTGTGGCTTAAGTGGTAGAGCATTAGCCTTGAGCTGAAGAGCTGAGAGACAGTGCCCAGGCCCAGAGTTCAGGCCCCAGGACTGACAAAAAACAAAAACAAAGGAATAGCATGCCAGGTGCTGGTGGCTCACGCCTGTAATCCTAGCTACTCAGGAGGCTGAGATCTGAGTACTGTGGTTCAAAGCCAGCCTAGGCAAGAAAGTCTGTGAGACTCTTATCTCCAATAAACCACTAGAAAACCAGAAGTGACACTGTTGTTCAAGTGGTAGAGTGCTAGCCTTGAGCTGAAGAGCTGAGGGACAGCGCCCAGGCCCAGAGTTCAAGCCCCACAGCTGACAAAAAAAAAAAAAAAAGAATACCATAAAATATGGTAGATTAACATCTAAAATTAATTTTCTAGTTCATACTAACATTTTACAATTAAAAGATGTTTTCTAAACTATTTTAAGTTATATGTGATCTTTGTAAAAGATCACTTACACTTAGCAAATATTTTATTTATTTTCTTAGCAAATACTTTAGCAAAATACTTTTCCTTTAAAAAGCATCTGTAAAAACTGCCATAAAGTTAACACACATTACTTTTACAGTAGTTTCTACATTCTTTATTAAATGGGGGAAGGGCCTGCAATTGTATTGGCCAATAATATGGGTCTCATAACTCAAATTGAACACTTAATTAAGAATATTATAATTCTCATTACTGAACCCTGAGTTTTAAAAATGGTATTGTCAGATCATCAGTTTCATCATTATTCATAATCATTCCTCATACTCTAATATTTGTCTTTATCCAGATTATAAATCAGAACTATAAACAAATTATAAGAGTTTATTCATAATATGTAACAATTTTCAATACTAAAGATACACATTAATTGACTTAGTTGCAATAGGTGAAAAATGTAAAAATTCAAAATACAAAGAGCCTAACTTAAAAACATTTCCCACCATGTTAATTTTAAGAAAATGAAGACATTTATCCTCTGCCTAATGATACCTCTTTTATTTCAGATGAGCCTCAATACAATAGCACTTTTATAACCAATGGAAGTCATTCACATGCTCAATAAAATCCCTGATTTAAGTAACCTTATTTCACATTTTTAATTTCCATAAAGATTAGGAAGACTAAAGAATCACAAAAGAAAGGAAACTGAGATAGCATAATTGGGGGAGGGGAGAATATGACAAGAGGAAACAGACAACAGTAAAGAAAAAAAATGTTGCAATCAAGAGACAGAGGACTGGCCTGCCTTTGAATATCAATCCAGCTACATCTTAGTTCTTGGTCTTCATCCACTGTCAACAGCCATTCTGGCTGCATTTCTGAATTGGGCTCTCTTTAGGAAGGTAAATGATTAATTGCATTGTATTCCCACTGCTGCAAGGACAATGAAAGGGAAAGTAAACTTGTGCACCTCATTTCATATCTAGTTGTAATTTTCCACACAACAATAAACAAAAACATATACTTTAAGATTATCTGGTCGTGTGTGTGTGTGTGTGTGTGTGTGTGTGTGTGTGTGTGTGCGTGCGCGCGCATGTATGTTAATCAAAAGTTAATGAAAAAAGGTCCCCTCTTCAAATCATCAAATGTCAATATCGTAAATCTATTTTAATCTTCTAACTACAAACACTATGAAATGGAATTTTCTCTAAACACCCCATTTAATTAGAAATAATTAATTTGGTCTAATAAAAAAGCAAGATGATTTAAAATTATGATTTCCAAACATAAATCACCAGGAGGAAAATTTAAAACATCATCTTATATGAATAACTCTAAAACACAAATTCTATCCTGAGAGCTCTTGTCCAAGATACAACCCAGAATAGCTTTCACAGCAATTATCTGAAATAAAGGATTCCAGCAACTTTATTACTTTTTTGCCTTTGAAATGTGACCAAAAAAAGAACAGAGTAATAATACACTTTTATGTTAGTGCTTGTTGACTTAAGTTAAACTCATTTCCAAAGTATCTCAAGAAATGAATTCAAAGAAGTGAGTACAAAGATAGTTCTAAAATAAAAAAGTAAAATCAATGTCTGTGTTTTTGAGGGGTATTTAAAGAGGTTGAGCACACAGATTAGAGAGAAATGACTTCAGACATATTTTTAACCCACCTGCTATCAGGTCATCAAGAGTGTCGGTAAGCGTCTGGGCTGGAGTTGCAACCATTAGTCCATCTGGTTCTTGAACTAATAGCCCCTGATCATGTCCAGTAATAGCAATCTGAGGCTGTCCTACAATATGCTGATTACCTGATACTTTCTGAAGTTCAAGAGAATTTGTCCCATTAGAACCTAAGTCTCTGGAAAAGTTACACTGTGGAGGTGATAAAGGCTGGACCGGGACATAATCAATTTGTTCTGCCGATGGTGGAATCTGTTGCTCATCATCAACATCATTATTTTTAAATAAGATTGTGTCAACCTGAGGTAATTCTGAAAAGTGATCCTCTGGGAGACTACTATCTCTTTCCCCTTCTGGGAAGACTCCTCTATGAGAGCACTGCTGATGTAGAGACACTGTGTCTTTCTGACCTTTGGTTTCCAAGTATTCTTTGGTAAATTGCTGTTGTGTTTTCATCTGCAACTGCCTTTCCACTTTCTGCAGTTCTTTCAGTATTTTCTTCTTCTTCTGGACTTGCTCTTCTCTGTTCTTTTTAAGTTCTTCTATCTTATCTTTGTTCAGAGGTTCACCTTGAATTAACTCCAATGACTTAAGCTGTGCTTTTTCAATAGCACTAATTCTTTGTCCCAGTTCATTCAGCTTTCCTTCAGTCTCCTCTACTATGCACTCCAAAGGCTGGTATGGGTGAAAAGGTGGCAGTAGGTCCTGATCTGCTACCTGCAGGGAACTGGACTTCTGCTTGGATGTACCTAAGCACATGAAAAATGTTTGAAAAAGTGCCATGCTAAAAAAATAAAATAAAAAAGAAAGGAAGGAAGACAAGAAAAAGGAAAGAAAAACAAAACAGAAACAAAACAAGAAAAAACCTCAAAAGAAAAAAATAACACCTCCCATCCACCCCACATGTGGATCGCCCTCCCCAAACTTGTTTGAGTAATGCTGTAGAATGAATGTCTAAAGAGTCACACCAGTGTTAGGCAGATTAAGGCCTACAATATATCAACCATTTCACAGAGCATGAACTCAGATATTCAATTCAAAAAGTGTATTTTAAAAAATCTACTCTTTAGGATAAAAGGATTTTAGAGATTAAGATAGGCAAAGAGAAAAGGAAACGAATCTCAAACTTCCCTTGATCAGATTGGAACATCAAATCTAAAGCACAATCAAATTAATGTTGAGAAACAGTAATATTAATGTTTGCTTAACTGTTCTTTCGAACAATTTCTTTTGCAATATCTATGGGAGAAAGGTTACTACAACAGTCCAAACAGTTAAAGTAGGGAAAAGTGTCAAGTTGCTGAAATATTTCTTTTCTTATATCAAAGAATATATGAAATCAGTTTTCTCAAGACATCCTTTTTTTTTTTGCTTTCTCCTTATTTTTGGGGGTACTGGGGTTTGAAGTCAGGGTCTTATGCTTGTTAAGAAAGCAATTTACCACTTAAACTACACACCCAGCCCTCCAGCATATCTTTGGAAAATTGTCCATTAAATGTTTTTAAAACTTTAATATCTAAACACTATATTAAACTTATATTATAATAGCTATCCTGAGCTTAACTATCTGTGAGAAAAATCCTGAGTTATTACAAGGAAATCAATAATTCTATATAGGATTACTCATACTGACACTGTATACTAATATCAAAGGATATAGTATTATTTTAAGGCATTAACTTATACTTAAGTTACTTTCTTATAACAAATCAGCTGAAAAATAGGTACCAATATCAATAGTCCCAACATGTAGCTATGAAATGTGAGAAATATACGGCTACTTTCTTTTGGGGCGGGGAAGGGTTGTAACTCAAGGTCTTGTGCTTATTAGGCAGATCCTCTACTACTTGAGTGACACCTGTGGACTTTTTTTTTTTTTAACCTTTTGGATAGGGTCTTTTTTTTTTTTTTTTTTTAAACCCGGGGCCAGTCTCAGAACAAGATCTTCCTAACAATGTATGTCTTCCTATACAGCTAGAACTATAGATAAGGCCCTACCAACCATACTTGGTTTATTGAGATGGGTCTTCTTTTCTCCTCAGGCTGGCCTTAAACTACAAACTTGATTTCTGCTACTGAGTAGTTGGGATTACAGATGTGAATCATCATACATATCTTTTGGTGTAACTCTTATGCAAATTCAGTGCTTGATTTTATTCAGGAGGAATTAGGATTATCCAGCAACATAGAAGAACAAACTGCTGATTAAGGCTATAAATGGATACACCTCAAAAAAAACCATACTAAGTGAAGGGAGTCTTGTACAATGCCATTTATATTAATTTTATGGAGAAAAGGCATTATACAGACAGAAAAGAGTAGTTGCCTGGGATTACAGCAATGGAACAAAGTTCAATACCAAACAGACATGAGATAAATTTTTAGGGTCATAGAAGGCTTCTAACTTTTTTTTTGGTCAGTCATAGGGCTTGAACTCTGGGCTTGGGTGCTGTGCCTCAGCTCTTCAGCTCAAGGTGAGCACTCTACCGCTTGAGCCACAGCGCCACTTCTGGTTTTCTGGTGGTTTATTGGAGATAAGAGTCTCACGGACTTTCCTTGCCCCGGTTGGCTTTGAACCATGATCCTCAGATCTCAGCCTCCTCAGTAGCTAGGATCAGGCGTGAGCCACCGGCACCCAGCTCATAGAAGGCTTCTAGAACTAAATGAATTCAGAAGGCTGAGACCTGAGGATTACGGTTCAAAACTTGCTGGGTTGGGAAAGTCTATGAGACTCATCTCCAGTTAACACTCAGAAAACCAAAAGTGGTGTTGTAGATCAAAGTGGTAGAGTACTAGCCTTGAGTGAAAAAGCTCAGAGACTGTGTCTAGGCTCAAAGTTTAAGCCCCATGACTGACAAAACAAAAAAAAAACGTAGATGAATGATATTAATGGTTTCAGAAGTGTCCAATTTACTAAAATTCATTGCACATTTCACATTTGAAATGATTGTACTAAAAGTGATTGAATTTTATGATATAACTTAAAAAGTAAAGCTGTTTAGGAAAGGAAAAGAATGTAATAAAATAGTGGTCTACTCTTTTGGATGTAAATGAATGCTACAGATAAAGATATTTTGGGGGAGGGGGTTGTAATAAGACAGGGTCTCTGTAACCCAAGTCACTAAAGGGCACTTCAACTCAGGATCTTATAGCTCCAAGCTACTGATTACTAAGCCCAGCTAAGAACTTTAAAAATATCCAGTATATTAAAATGATTCTTAAGTACAAAAGGGAAAACTTACTCATTAGGTGCTAAAATGTTCTAAGTTACAAAGCCAGCTTGATAAGAGAAAACCACATCTCATACCTATAATTCCAGACACTTAAGAAGCAGAGATCTGAAGGATTGTGATTCAAGACCAGCCTGGGGAGAAAGTTTGCTAGACTCCATCTCCAAAGTAGCCAGCAAAAAGCAGGGCTGGAGTGTGAATCAAGTAGAAAAATGCTAGCCTAGAAGGCATGAAGCTTTGAGTGCAACAACAGTACTGACAAAAAAAGTAAATTTAAATAGAATTTTTTAAAACTGTAGGTAGTTCAAATATATATAACATATAACTAAAAAAATCTAAGTTTTCCTCCTACATACTAACTTTACAAAGGTAGCAACCATAGTTCCAGTATCACTGCCATCACTTTCAGATGCTTATTCATTCCTTTACCAAACTTTAGCAAAGTATATTGTCTATATTTAATTTTATATTTCTATCTGACCAACGTGGTGAAGAAAGACTATTCTTTCAGAATAAAGCCAATAGTATTTGTGAGGTAATTTATTGCTACTTCCATAAGACCTTACATAAGCTATGGTTTATCTGTTTAAAATGCTTAATGGCAATTACTAGGTAAGATAAGAGAGATCCACTAGCATAGCAAGGAAAATTTCACTTTTGCAATAAATGCAAATGACATTAGCAAATTTAAAAGTTCTGCAAAGATGGGGCTGGGAAGGTGGCTCAGTGGTAGAGCACTTGCCTTGCATGCCTG